TCTTTTAAACAATTGTCTCTGTCAACATTCCAGCATGTGTATGGGAGGGGTTCAGAGGCCTCTCTCTCTCTCTGGGGAGCCACAGACAGTTAATGGCTACTGGGTGGGTGACAGGGAAGCATTTTCTTGAGTGGCACAGCCAGCCACTGTTGCCCATGCACCAGTAAATAACCTCACATCCATGGACTTGCAAGTAACACTAATTAAACTCAGTGGGTCGTTAAAACAATAAACAAAGACATAAAAGAGGGAGGGGGCTTGTTAGGGAAAGGGGGTCCAGAAAGAGTGGGAGAGGGTAAGAGAGGAGAGGGAGAAAGGGAGGGAGAGAGGAAGAGCGGGAAGAAGTGTGTGCGTGTATTACAGGGAACACTCTGAGGTATTAAGTCTGATTCTGGCTAAGCAGCTGTAGAATTACTAAGACTGCTTTATCAGCCCTGGCACCAGACTTCATGGGGGCTGATGATTTCAATAAGTAGTGTTGAAGGCACACAGACAACCGAGATATTCTGCACCATTGTTTCTCAAAATACAGGGTTTTGACCACCGCCGGGATTACAGAAACTGGAGCCATGGCTGCCGGCTGCCCCCATATGGGGACTTCACACACCCCACACACACCCCAGATCATCAACAATGCCCCTTTCTCTTGATCACACCAAGAATTACCTGTCTCACCATGCACAGAGAACTTCACAGGAGTCATCTGACAATTCTGTGTCCTGTGAAGGTAGAGACCTGCCTTTCTTTCATAGCTGAGGAAAGCCAGGCTCGGAGAGGTTCAGGGCTCAGATGTGGTCACAGCTAGAAGTGATAAAGCTGGGGGTTCACACTAGTTAATCCCGGGCAGCTAATGATCCACTTCATCCTCTAAAACCTAACACATTAGCTGTACAAACTAATGTGTACAGACCAATGGCAGTGTCCCACAGCCAACACCATGCTTTGATCACCCATCCCCACCCACTCTTCCCTTTCCTTCTCTAACTTGGTCCCCTTCCTCTTCAGCTAATAAAAAGCCATCATGCTCTACCACCTTTTCTCTTACCCTCACCTTCAGCCCAGAAACAGGGAAAGCTTGCTAGAGGAGAAAACCTGAAGAGCGACAACACGCTGGACCCAGGGCCCAGGATCAAGGATGGTGCCAGTGTTTATCATCTAATGGTTTCTTATTTGCACTATCTTTTATTACATGTTTCGGTTTCCAAAGCTGTGTACATACATCCTTCTTGACCTATGTTATTACATTACTGCTAAACAATCTGGGCCACTAACAGGCTATGAATAAGGACACAGGCCCAAGAGGTTATGAGTCTCTGAGCTGCATGGTAACAAGAATCTTAGAAAGCACATGGCGGCATGTAAGCAACGCTGTGTGGTAACCCTCTACACCTACAGATTCAGATCTCATTTGAGCCCCCAGTCTGGAAGAAGTTAGCAGTGTGTGGGTTAGCTCCTTCACGTTGCCATGGTTTATCTTCCCCACCCCCTTTCTGGCAATAACATCACAAAAGATTAAGAAATGGCTGAGAGTTACCATTCAGAAGACCATTTAATAATATCAGTTTTCCGCCTTGTAGCCCTTGGCAGGATTCCCTTTTCATAGATCACAATGTGGGCACAGGGCCAAGAGATGGTGAGGGTGACTCACAGGTCACTGCAGTTTATAAGTCAGAATAATAAAAAGGAAGGCAGAGCTGACATCACTGGCAAGGGAAAATTTTTGGTGTTGTGTTAAGCAAACTAATTACAGCCAGCTCTGAACGCCGTGGGAGGAGGGCACTGCCTGTTGAACAAAGCCAAGCCTGAAGTTGGGGAGGGGGGGGTGGATAACATGGCCATAGAAAGTCAAACTATGACAGACGAAGGGAGTCACTGAATGGATTAACTTGTTTTTATCTTAAGGTCAAAGGAAAAGCTAACACAAACTATGGGAACAAACACTGTCAAACAGGGGAACTTGCATCATGACCAAGTAACAAGAACGCACAGGCTTCGCTGCTAACCACAAATCTCAACTACTGCGACCTGAAAAAACAAAGGAAACATTAAGATAAGCTCAGCTTTTAAGTTCACTTGGTAAAGAGCGAACACAGCCATGATTATTATTAGGCCTTGGCTGTGAAAGACTGAGAGGCTACCTTCAGCCCACAGGGATTACGCTTTTATTAGTATAGCTTTTGGATTAGTGGAAATGTCTATCTAATGAATGCAGCTACTATATTTGAGCACATGCCCGAATAAGCTACGTGTTGATTGAAACCTATCTATTTATAAGCACTTCTGCATGTTGTGAGAAATCCAGCTGTATTTGCACAGCACAGCACAACACCCTCCATTGAATAAAGGCTCTACCATTTCATTTTAGGGCCTGTTGAATGGACAGGTGGAAAGGAAGTGTGTGGTACCCACTTAGCAGATTTTACTCCTCACTCTTGGCCAGTAGAATTGCCTTATCTAAATAGCAATTTAGATGGGCATGGATGTTATAAATACAAAATGGAAAAGAAAACCAAACCCTTTCTTCAGGTTCACCTACAGCTTTAAACTGGTAGAACAGAACCAGAACTAGTTGCACAAATGGGTGAATGGTCCCGAGTAGCCTCAGGTAGCTGAACCTGGGGCTCCTCATAATCCTTGAACTAAGCCTGGAAGATAGGTGGATGGCTGCACACATTTATCATTCGTTTCTCATTCCTGTGAATGAACGGCAATAATAGCACATCCAGCAAAAACAAAGCAGCATGGAAGAGTGGTCTGGATACACAATTAAGTCAGTTATTTCCCTCAGCATCTGGGGATCTCACTACCAAAATGAGGCTTCACCTGAGATAGGACCGAGGGCTCCACTCTTAGGGCTGTATAGTTCTGAGCCCTCCACACCCATCCTCATCCACAGCTTTGCCTCCCAGCCTCAGTGGCAGCTCTCTTAACATCCTCAGGTTTGGCTTTGGGTACTGACAAGGGATCCTTACTCACCGGAGTTCATTTTCACTCCTCTGCTGTTAAGGACCCAGATACTAAGCTTCCTCTTTGGGAAAGGCCGTTGAGGAATTTGTTAATTAGTAGTCCTAACAAATCATAAGCTATTATCAACTGAGACCTCACAGGATTTCTCTTGGGGAACTTTGAGTGAAGAAAGACAAAATGTCAAGGTGTCACACTGTTAAGGGAGACAATGAACCAACTGATGATTGGGAGATCCAGCACAAGCAGCAGGGAAAATGCAGCCTTTGGGATCTGCCTACTTCTCTTCCCAGAGCTTGAGCCCCTGAGTATCCTACAGATGCCACAAGCTGACCTGACAGGGCTCCGAGAGTGAGAGGTAATGGCTGGGTTATAGAAAGAAACAGCTGCTGCTGTTACCCACACCTGGGAATCCTATCTTTTCTATTCTTATAGTTGACAAAGCAAAAGAATGATTCTGGAAAAGAGGCATTAACACTAGAAAACCAAAGTTGAAAATACAAAACTTAAGAATGCGGAAACACAGTGTTTATGCTGAGTCTCTACAGCATCCGTAGAGAGTTGATGATGAGGCCTGGTATTGCAGTACCTCTTACAGGGAGGAGCTGCGGCTAGTGAGAACAGATCATCATGGCACACTGCTCCCTTTTCTGGTTGAGGGTCACACCCATAAAGGAAACTCTCTTTTGAGAAAACACCCAGTAACAAAAGAGAAACTATGACTCAGTACAGCTATGGAGAAGACTCTCCAACCATGGGGCCATCCTATCTTGATGTCAAAGGAGAATAAATTGAGAGCTTCAGTCCCTTGATTTCAGAAACTCCTGTCCTTTGGGGAACCTTTTTGTTTACCCATTTCTCTTTTAGCAGCTGGGCACTGACAAAGAGTTCATTTAAAACCATGCTCCATCCACCCATTCCCACTCACCATCAACAGTCCACCTACCTATCCACTATTCATCCATCCGCCTAGCCATCAATGGCTTCCCTTAAAAGATTTAAGTAGACCCTAAATTATAACTCCTGTTACTATCTCGTTTTATTGGAATTTTAAAAATAGTATTGTCTTTTACAGTTTTGTTTTTTTTCCCGTGAAGGCTGGTATGATAATTAAAAACGAGAAACAGATGGCTAAGGGACTAGAATGTTTAGAACTGATAAGCAGCCATAAGCAAAAAGCATTCATGAAAGAAGTTTCTAAAGATCCTTGAAGTGTTCAGACTACTTTATGTTGACAATCATGGAGTGTTAAATTCCAAAGACAAAAGACAGCTGAAGTCAGAAAGAAACCAGGAGTAGAAATTATTTACATTTTATAAACAAGAACATGGAAAATACAAGAGGCAAGTGATGAGCAACTCTGGCCAGGAACCTAAGATCTCCTGCTTTGACGTTTGCTGCCCGGATTATTAAGCTGCTGCAGCCTTCAGTGTTTGTTTCCATCAACATTACTAAAAGAGCATTTCACTCTGGCATTTCTGTTCTATGGCACCACTCCTAGCTGTCTTCACCCACAATGACATTATTAAACAACATCTTTGGTGCTAACAGTGTAGACCACAAAGAGCTAACAGCCTGGCTCCTAGTGGCTAGTGATGGAGTGGTAATTAGGGTATATCACTTCCTTTCTTGCATTTTCTTGATTTGGAAGTTAAACCACACTCACACTTCCAACTCAGACAAGCCCATGCCTGTGAAACCGACACAAAATCTCCACAAGTGTAAATGTTTCCACTGCCATTTTTTTTTTTTTTTTTTTTCTTTTTTTTTATCATTTTTGGACAACAATGTAGCCAAGCTAATGGTAGTCCCCCCCCCCCCCACACACCATCATTTACACTAATTTTTTTCCAAGGAATGATGCACTCATGATAGGCTGGTTGAGGATGATCCCTGTATGGCTGGCCCCTTGTACTGGAGTGCCTCGAGAGTGCAAACACCAACCTTATCAATAACTAGGCAAAGTACAAACAACCTTTCTGTTTAATGAACTTCAAAACTGCAAGCATCTGAGAACATCACAAAATAAGCCTGTCTGCCAGCACATAAATTTATTTTAAAATCCACAGATACACAGGTATTGGAGGAATTCAAGAAGGCAAAAGTGCCTTTGCCACAAGCTGCTTGGCACTGTCAGTACCGGTTTCGAAGCCGGTTGCTTAGGTCTTGCAGCTCAGCCAACAAAGCAACTATAGCTGCTATTTCATTGGTTAGGTCTCCAAAGACTTCTCCAGTGGCCACATCTGTAAAATTTTGCTGCAATATAAAAACAGTATGACTATCAAAAGATGAAAATTTCCTCTAAACAATCTAGGTATATCGAATCAACATAGCAATATAGACTCCCAGCACTGCTGGCATGCTACTATCCTGACAGTGCAGCAGCAATGCAGCGTTTGCTTGGACCCCACAAAGGTACAAGCCTAATTAACAAATCTAAACAGCGTGCCTGACCTGGCAATTCAAGAGATCTCCAACTATAGCACAGTGGTGGAGCACTTGTCTAGAGTGCTCTAGGCCTTGGTCCAACCCCTTGCTTTGTTCTTCATAGAAAATGCTTTAAATGTTGATTGCTTTTGTCAATGTTATACAATAGTATTTGGATGAATGAACATCATTCATCCAAACAAAATTCTATTTAGTGTGCATGCCAACCAAGAAAATCAGCTTCAGAATTTTATGACCATACATGGGCAGGGAGGAGAGGTAGGTTTGTATATACATACATGTGCATGTAACAGAAATGTATCTCACTGTGGCATGTAATTTATTTGGCTTTCTATACATTGTTTTCATACAAGTTGAGAAGATTTGTACTACTGAATAGCACTTCCTAACAGACTGACTTAAATACTGCTGCAGTGTGCTGAGTAGAAATACATCTTTTGGGCAAAGAACCTGAACACACACAGCATATTTCCAATAGGAATCACTGTGCTTATAAGTCACAATGAACTTGTATTACTTCTCAACAAGGGAAACTAAGGCTTAGAAAGAATGATGTTTCCTTAGAAAGAAAGGTGTTTCCAAGGAGACACACAGAGGTAATTCTTTCTGTTTCTGAATCAGCCACTGGGACCTAATGGCAACAACCTTTTTTTAAACAGGAGTGACCGGAGGCTGATGACCTTCCACCCAAACAGTTTTAATGAACTTGAGGATCATTCTCACCTTCGCTCTGGATAACAAACCGCGTAAATTGAGCCGAACTGAAGAAAGTGCCTGTACAGCTCCCTGGGGATTGGACTTGCTCTCACTGCATTTTATAGCCACTGAAAGATAAACACAGGGAAAGCACCGTAGAACTGATTGTCTGCGGGTTCAAAAGCAGCTATTTACTAAGAGTTTGCAATCGTCAACTTCACTTCCTACTTCCTCCTCCACCTTCTCCTTGGTGGTACTGGGAACTCAAACCCAGGCCTGTGCGAGCTGGGCAAGCACTCGTCTACTACTGAGTTACACTCCAGCTATCCTTCTTTTTCTTTATACAGGAGAATACGGCTAAGGAGAATTCTGAAGGAAATACATGCATTCAGGTGAGTTACATTAGGCAGGGATCCCACACGTATGTACACACGCATATGTATGTATTCACATGCACACACTAGTGGATTAGGCAAACAAACCCTTACCAGAAACAAGGCACACTCAGAGGACCAAACAGATGCTGCACAGCTCATGTGGCTATTCATTGTCCCAAGTCACTAAAGAGGACTCATAGTTGCTGATCTCACTGGCCCAGCAAAGTGGCATGCCTGATGTGCCAAGCTTAAATGCTTGCTGTATTTTTTACATCCCAATTTTACGGCATTTTGGGAGAACCGGCACTAATAATCTGCATGTGTTCATTTAGGGACTGTGAGCAAGGCCAGACACTCGTGCTCCTGGGCCATATCTGGCATCAGCTCTAGAAAGTGCCTCCAGCATTCTGGAGAGACTTACATATGCCTCCATGGAGGAAGACTGGCTGTTAATGCCTTCTAAGAACCGGTGAAGACCTCCACCCTAACAGGTGCCTGGGATCTTTCCAATGCTCTTGCTTCTCTCTCTTAAAATTATATTCATGAGCTGAGGAGACATGGCTCAGGGGTTAAGAGTACTTGCCACTCTTCCCAAGGACTTAGGTTCAATTCCCAACAACCATCTAGACCCCAGTTCCAGGAGATCTGATGCCTTCTTCTAGACTCTTCAGACACTGCACTCACATGGTACACTGACATTTATGCAGAAAAACATTCATACACCTAAAACAATACATTTAAAAAATGATATTCACTAAATTCAAAAGCAGATCCTGTTTTACAACTACACTGTCACAGACGACAGCTGCAAACTGTAAGCAATCAGGAGAAATAGCCTATGGCCTAACAAAATAGCTTTGACATTAATTAATAATATCTGTGGTCAGCAAGAACTGGGTTTGATGTTTCTATTTTAGAATAATGATTAGACTTCAGTTAAGTTTCATGTTGGATGCATGCTAATTAGCAATGTTAAGCCCACTTTCCGAGGGCCCAGTCTATCCCTTCTCTGTAGGGAAGAGTTGCCACTACTGCAGCAGAGGTATACAAATGGCTTAATGCCTACTTGCAAATACCAGAAACACCTGTAGTTCTAGTTTTAAAATCGAGGTATGGTGGTACATGCATTTAATTCTACCACTCGGGAGGCAGCAACAGAACCCAGGATCTTTCTGGGTTCAAGGCCGGACTAATCTACACAGTGACTGAGTTCCAGGCCAGCCAAGACTACATAGAGAGATCCTATCTCAAAAAAAAAAAAAAAAAAAAAAAAAAAAAAGAAATCAATTTGAAGAAAACAAAGAAGACACACATTCTATTAGTTCCCATCTCAATTTCTCTCTCAAAAGGCATTCAGACAGCAGGGATGGGGAGCTTTGGAGACTGAAAATGCCCATCTTCCCTGACGCTGCAAGCAACACAAGGGCAGCACCAGGGCACAGGGTCTCCATACTCCAGGATTGCTGTTTGTCCTGATCTTGCCAAAGCCCATGGCAAAGCTTACCCTTGGCAATCCAACAGGCACCAAGATTTATAAAATGCTGTATTTCCTTTTCATAAGGGTGTGTGTTTGTGAAGGAACAGGGGATGGGGCAGGGGGGCAAAAAAGGAAGGAAGTAACAGAAACCCAGTTCATTCTTTGAGTACAATGCAACAAAGTTAAGAGTTGCTGTTATAGATATAAAGCATTTACTCAATCCTGCTTGCATTAGAATGCAACACATGACTCATTCAAGAGAACAGACACTTGTCTTCCCCAGAAGTCACCCTATGGGAAAGGTGCCAACAACGGTTTAAAACCTGTACCAAGCTGCCAGAAAAAGGTTTTCTGGAGAACTTCTCTGACCTACACAGTTTTGGTACACAGGGTGTACAGCCAGCACTTGGTGAATACAGAAACTATCTCGGTCTGTCTGTCCATCACAGAGCCGGCTGCTCACAGTTAAAATAAGAATCTTCAGAGTGAACCAACCATGCACACATCAGTGGAGGCTCCCCAGACATAGTACCACATCTACAAAGGCCAAAGATAAAAAAACAAAACCCCCCCTCTGGCTTCCTCTACCAAGAGGCAAGCACCGGTCACAGAATTATAGCCACCCACCCCAAAACAGTTTTATCCTGTAATCACCTCGAACTTTCTACCTTCCAGCCAGAGTTCAGCCCCTCTACCTTATGGCTAGGTGGTCCAGGAAACAGGACATTTACATTCTGCCAGTCAAAGATCTGAAAGGCCCTGAGTAGAATTATTAACTACTAAGTCCATTCTGAACCATTTGAATGTTCTGTGACTTCTTTATAGGCAGTTAAACTTTATCCCTGCCACTCACTTTTCTCTCTTGGAGCTCCTTATGGGCCAGTCCCTCTATTTCAGAAGAAACGGAGGGGAGGGGGGCTTTGGGGGAGGTTCATATTTCAACAACATGTAAAATACTACGAAGTACTGAAAAGCACTTGTGGACTCTTCCTAACAGCATAGGTAGGAATTCTCCCATTCCACCCACAATCAAAGGCCAGGAGACATTAAGTCACTGACTCAGCATCACCAGCAAGTATGTAGTAACGGTGGTCCTGGAGTGTTAGTGTCCCTGGTTCCAAAGCTCTGCTCTTCACACTGCTCTTTGCTGGCTCCCATTTGCTGTCACTATCAGGGGTAGGAGTCCTTGTGATTCAGTTCTCAAGGCTGCGTGCAACTGGAACTGTATTCCCAGGGCATAGCATACCCACACTCAAATATCAATATAAACAATTCATCACTGGATTTAGATGGTACTTTTTGATAATGCAAGAGTGGTTTAAACCTGAACTATATTTATCTTACAAACATTTTATTATAGGTAAGGCTGTCTCCCCTCCCAATTATAGACCCTAAATTTCCCAAAGACAGTACCCCAGAAATCTGCATGTTTTGATGATCTTTTTGGCATTCCTGTCAGTTAAGGAAATGCTACTGATTTTCCTTAACACACCATAATCAACAGACTCTGTGGGCAGTAAATGCTGCTTGGGAGGAAACTATTTCATACTCTAAGGGTTCTAGCTGTCACTCACTCAAGCAGCATTTAAGCTTCTGTCCTGAGTTATCTCATGTGCTTATTATTATGTGGCTCTTTCTCTAGTGTCTACTAAATTGCAGATATTCTATAAATGTTTCTGAATTAAATACAACAATTTCAATATATTGGAGTAATCAGAAAGTACCTGTAATGGAACCTGGTTTCTGACTAACACTATTTTATAAAGGAAGACTGCATTAAAATATGATAATGGATATCAAATACCATGTGCCAGTCCTATGGCTCTTTGAACAACTTCCTTAAATGCTGTAGCATCTTTCTCCCAACAACTGGATTGTGTGTCACACTTGTATGCCTTCAAGAGACACTGGAATGCCTAAGAAAACAGAAAGGACAATATTAAAGACAACAAAATGATTTCACATTTCAAATTGCTTCCTGGGAAGTCATATGGAACAAATTCCAAACTGAAAGCCAGCATCTGTATCGTGAGGCATCTCTGTAACTACCAGTGGGGTTAGGATGCACATCCAATAGCAACAAACAACTGAGAAAGCAAGGATGTTTTCTAGACAGCCACCTCTCCCAGAACCAGGAAAACATGAAGGCCAGTGTGCAGATTTCCTCCAGCCACCAAGCTGAGAGATTCAGTAAGAGAATAAGGCACGAACTTGATAAAAATTATGGGCTGGCTAACAGGTATATAATTTCACAGATGTTTAAAATGTTCTTTTGTTTCATCTTAAAAATTCTTGGTGGAGAAGTGGCAGGCAAGAATGTTCTTATTTTCTTATATTTTTGTTTGTGAGCCTAGCCTTTACCAGCTGAGCCACCTTTCCAGCCCCGAGTGTTCTTATTTTCTACAAGTACACAATCCAGGAGAAATGGAAGGTTATAGCATGCAGCATGAGATGTATATTATGTGGGCCAACAAGGCCATGGTAGAAACCAGCTGTTTGGACAGAAGGAAGAAAGAACAGCTAAGAATCACACAGATTAGCTGGACCATGGCTACACAAGCCCACACAAGGAGTACATTTGATTTGCTGTGATCTTTTTGAAAAGAAACACAACACAATGATTCCAGCCTTGGAAACTCTGGGCTCCTTTGCACCTGGAGACAAGAGGCTATAGGCACAACTGGAGTGGGATTAACAACCTACTGCCCTGCAAGAAGGGAAGGGCAGGGTGCCCCCTGCAATGTGGCATGCACTTGCAATTTCCTCTCCTGTCTCCTTAGTTAATTTTTTCCTTTCTGTAGCCTCATCTTAGATCTAAACACTCTTTTGGTTTTGTCTTTAACCACTAGCCTATGGAAAGCGGTGCAAGTGGAGGGCATGCGGCATCTGGTGGATGCAGATCCAGGAGGGGGGCAGGATAAAGAACCTTCTGCAGGAAACACAATGGCTGCCGAAGAAAAACTCATGAAATGTAAAATGATGAGTGTTGTTAAGTCTTAGCATGCCCATAATTCAAAGTACTTAAAACTGAATTTGAAGGTTGGAGTGATGGCTTGGCCAATCAACTGCTTGCTTTGTCAGCACAAGGATCTGAGTTCCATCCCCAGGGTTACGTGTTTAAAAGGAAGAAAAAGACACAGAAGCACATACTTGTGCATCCAGCACAGGGGAGGTGGGAACAGGGGGACCCTGGTGTTCCTTGGGACTCTCTTGGTAAAGTCTAAATAAAGGTGGATGGTGCCTGAGGCTATTATCTGCTGTGTGTATGCATACACACACACTGAATCTAAGCATGTTAGTTTTATGTTTCAGATTGTTGATCTCATCCGTCACTCAAAAAAAAAAAAAAAAACAGATCTATTATTCTCCCCATGGGAGCAAAGACAGAGGCCCAACACTGACCTTTTCTTTTCTTTCTTTCTTTCTTTTGTTTTGTTTTTCAAGACAGGGTTTCTCTGTATTGTTTTGGAGCCTGTCCTGGAACTAGCTCTGTGGACAAGGCTGGCCTCGAACTCACAGAGCTCCACCTGCCTCTGCCTCCTGAGTGCTGGGATTAAAGGCGTGCACAACCAACACCTGGCCAGGACTTGCCTGACCTTTTCATTCTCATCAGGCTTTTCGCTCTGCCCATTGCCATGTACTTGGGCATACAGTCGCCAGACTTCTCCATCGTTGGTCACTCTTGAAGTCACTCTGCCGAACAACTCCTGCAGCTTGCCTTTGAGGCTGGAGGCGACGTCTCCATTTCGATCAGCCATACCGTTCACCACTGCCCTGACCAGAATGTTAAGGACCTTTAAAAATGTATGGAGAAAAAAAAAAACACTGAGCTAGCAGCCATCAAATAGTAACAAAGGCCCAGGGCTCCGCTCCAACATCAGATACTAAATGCTGCGGCCTTATTTGGGTATCACTGTTAATGTTATAGCACATTCTCTAATGTTCCCTGCCAGGCTCCTTGGAGGGCTCTTTTGTCGCAGCCTTGTTTCTTCTCAACTGGAGGACTCTCTGAAGAGTTGGCCCACACTTTCATCATGTTTTCAACACATGGCACTTCAGCCAGGATCCTCTCTGGAACCTCAAGATTTTGCCTAAATACCTTCTGGGTGGTTCTGCCAACATTTCACACCCACCTGCACACCTTTAAAAGTGAATCAGGCCCCACATCCTAGTCTCAGGGTGAACACTGTTTGCAGTCAGCAATGAGTACCAGCCTCCACTCTTCTCTCTCTTTTCTCCCAAATGCAGCAGATTTGACTCCACACTCCCACAAGTCCTAGGTCCAGCCTCCTCTATCTTACTGAAGGACTCATGACTTTCACATGCACTGTGGGTTGACACCATTCTACTGCTGTTTAAAGATGTTCCTAAATGCTGAATGATAAGCTGCCAATGCACTGGCATGCAACCCTCAAAAGGTACCTTTTCCCCTCCCACTACTCCAAGTCAGCCTGCCATTTAGCAAATTTCTACAATGCCATGTTCTCAAATTGTACCTCAGAGCTCATAACACTGGTTGGTGGTTTTCTATTTTTTAATTTTATTTTACATTCCAACCACAACTCTCCCTTCCTTGCCTTCCTCCCCCACACCCCACCCCCAGTCCACTCCTCCTCACGGGTAAGGGCTCCCATGAGGAGTCAACATAGTCTGGCACAATAGGTTGGGGTAGGGCCAGGCCCCTCTCCCATGCATTAAGGCTCAACAAGGCATCCCACCACAGGGAGTAAGCTCCAACAAGCTAGCTCATATACCAGGTTTGTATTGTGGTCCTACTGCCAGGGGCCCTTCAGCTAGTCCAAGCTTCACAACTGTCTCCCACATACAGAGGGCCTAATTCAGTCCCCTGGAGTCTCCACAGTTGTGGGTCTAGAGTTTATGAGCTCCCACAAGCTTGGTTCAGCTGTCTCTGTAGATTTCTCCATCATGAGCTTGACCTCCCTTGTTTATATGTTCCCTCCTCCCTCTCTTTGACTGAATTCCTGGAGCTCGACCTAGTTCTTGGTTGTGGATTTCTGCATCTGTTTCCATCAATTAATGGATGAAGGCTCTATGATGATAGTTGGGGTATTCCTCAATCTGATTACAGGGGTAGGCCAGTTTGGGAACTCTCTCCACCACTGCTAGCAGCCTTAGCCAGGGTCCTCCTTGTGGATTCTTGGGAGTTACCCTAGCACCAGGTTTCTCCCTAAACCCATAGTGGGCGGGCAAGAGTATATAGAGATGTGCACTGAATGAAAATCTCTGCAAATTGTTCTATAAAAGGTATTTTTAAAGGTATCACTGAAATTAAACCTCACCATTCCTTAAATATTTCCAAATGTTTATGAATTAAATATATTTCCTTTCCAAGAAATTAACATTTTTCTTAATGTGCACTGAACTCATTTCCCCACCAATGTAAAAGTTTTATTGTTCATTGTAAACTAACACATGTTGCTAGCTCCTCTGAGTCCCAGCCCCCAACACTACTTGAAAAAGCATTGAGTTACTGGGTCAAGAAAGTAAGTAACATAAAGATCCTCCAATGAACAGAAGTGGCCAGGAAGGAAGGGGAGACATGCAAAGGTTCAGAGATGGATGCAAAGGGAGTGAACTGTGCCCTTTCTTCTTTTACCTACTACCCATACACCACATGCCATCAGCATGGCCCAACTGCTACACAGAGTAGTGTGAGCTCAATTTGAGCTCAGTGCAAGCCAGGGACCACGTGAGCATATGAGGCCAGGGGTCTTAGCTGCAGGGAAATGGCAGGCAGGAATCAAAGGCTCACACAGCCTGGTTCCACTTCCCTTGAAGATCTTCTACATTACAGGTTCAGGAGCTTCCTAGGAACCAGTCAGCTAGTGGCAGAGGCCAGAGTGATTAGGTGTGAGCACCCGCTATGGCCCAGGACACCAGCAAGAGCTCCATTTTAGTGTTAGCCTCTCCCGCCAATATATATTATCCATCAGACTACCAGTATTTTGACTGAAGCATGAGCCAACAGGGAACAAACCAGGCCACCTGAAAAGAGCACGAAGCATGAGATGACCTGAGCCAATGAGGAAGGGAGTTAACCATCACCTCAAAGAGGTCAGAGAGAAAACTGAAAGAATGAATGAGTTGTCTAAGAGAGCCCTACTACAAGGAAGAAAATCAGTGAGGGGACCATACTTGGGTCCCAGAGAGGGAAAGGCAAGAGGGTGATAAAGAGGCTAGGAAGCATCTGGTGAGGTGAGCGGGAAATTCCAAAACCAGGTGAAGAACCAGCAGTCATTGGCGCCTGATGAGGCTGAGACTGGGCCTTGCAGACATGGACACACACCCTGTCAGATGCCCTTCACAGGGAGAGATGCAGACACCTCTCACCAAGAGCTGGCCGTAGGGACCGAGAAGGGCAGGCAGCAGAGCAGAGGTAAGGGCTTTGGTTTGTTTCCATGACTAGATAACTTACGAATACTTGGAAAACAATGCTAACTTGGACAAAAGTAAATATGCCTTGTAATATTTCCCTGTTTGTACCATGACACATTAAAGGGATAAATCTCCTTGGCAATTAATTATAAGTGGAGATCCAATAGCCATTTTTTCTGAGACTAAGTCTTAATAGTCTACACTGAAGAGTTCTTCAGTCTGAACACTCTTCATAGGTCTGGATGCCTTTCTAGACCTAATGAGAGTTTGGAACAGTCTCCCAATTATGTATGTACTTATTTATATACATAACTTTTATCTTGGTGGTTAATTTCATTATCTCCAAAAGCCTTCTTTAGAAATTCTATTTTGTTCTTCATGGCTTGATGTTCCAGGGCTGTCTCTTAATATTACATAATGACCAAATGCATGCCTCTCATTTTATTTTAAAACACATGTGCATGCATGCTGGGCGTGTGTGTGTGTGTGTGTGTGTATGTGTGTGTGTGTGCGCGTGCGTGCGTACATGTATGAGTGTATGTGAGTGAATGTGTGTGTGTGTGAGAGTGTGTGTCTGCGTGTGTGTGTGTGTGTGAGTGAGTACACCTTTACCCACTGAGCCATCTTGCTGGCCCCACTTGTCTTTCCTTGAAAAGATTTATTATCTGTCAAGTTCTGTTTCCCCCAGTGCTGGTGACTGCACCGAGGGCCTCACACATGCCATAAACACACAATCTTCTACTTACCCAGACGACTCCTATGCTTAGCATCTCCCTGTTGTTCCTATCCAAGTCCCTGACAGTGTCTAAAGGAAAGCCCTTGACTAGCTGAAGGTTCTCTGGCTTCCCCTCAAGGCACCTCTGCACATGTCACCTCTACGGCTTCCACTAGCTCCCAGCAAGATGTTAGATCTGTTCTGGAGACTTCCAATATCCACACCACACCCTACAGCTGTTTTCTCCATGAAAAGGAATATAAAGTTGTGGCAAAATAAACTTTCTTCCAAATTCATGTTCACCCTGAGCCCCAGAATATGAGTGTTGGGGAGACAGGGTCTTTGTAGATGCAATCAGTGACAATGAGGTCACACGGGACCCAGGTGATCCCTCCAGTGGCTAGGATTGGAAGTCTCCAGTGATTTCTTCCACATAAGAGAGCTCAGACACAAAGGGAAGGGAATACAGACATGGCTGAGTTTGAAGCCTCGTGCCATATGAGGAGGGAGATCCAAGACCACTAGAAACTAGAAGGACTTCTCCCCAAATCTTTAGGAAGGTGACAAGTCAACACTCCAATTTTGGATTTCTGAATTCCAGAGCTGAAGGATGAGAAGAGACTTCTACATAGACAACAAGTATGAAGAAATTTGTTATGGCAGCTCTAGAGAGAACCAAGACAATATGAAAAGTTCAAATAAGCTCTTCCCAAGCCTGGCTTAGGTGCAGGAAGTCACAAAACAATGTCACCCTCAAAGCCTGTCTCCTCAGTGACTGGCGACCCCACACTTTACTCACTGATCAGAAGTGCCTTCCCCTCCATGTGCACAAGTTTTACATGGCAAACCTCTTCATCTTTATGATTTCATGATTATATGTGCTTCCTCTACCCACAAGCTCATAAAAATATTTACCAAATTTCCCTGTAATGCTTTATGGTTTTACCTGTGTGACGATGACAATGACAACTATTTTTAAATGCAATGCACTCCTTCCTGTGAGACAGTTGCCATTTGATCCCTACCTTCTGAAACTGAGGCATGAAGTGGTTCACTAACCTGCCCAAGGTCACATGGCTGGTGGGGGACAATCTCAGGCTGCCTAATTCCCAAGTCTATACTTGCCTAATGAATCATTCTGTTTAGAATTCCACTTTAAATATTTTGTCCATCAGAACTTATTTTGGATTATGGATGAATGCAGAACTTAAGTGTTTGGACTTAATGTCTGGCTAACTACTTTGTACATACTGATTTTAAAATGTGTTGCTATTATGTACTACATTCTCATACTTATTTGGATGTGTTCATGAATTCTACATTCAGCCTCCTCCATTCCTACAGCAGATGTTAACTCTTTATATCATAAAGATATTATTAGCTTTTTTGCCTTTCTTATTTGTTATAAATATTTGTCACATGGTTTTTTAATGTGGTCATAAAATTCCTTCCAGTTTTCCTTTATTGCCTCAGAGTTCAAGAACTTTAGCAAGCATTCTCTTCTATTCCTAATTTTTCTAGAAGACAAAGTATTTGGCATATATTTAGTTCATTTGGAGCTCATTTGGTGGTACATCATTAAACAATCTAAATACATATCTGAAGCCTGGATGCTTAATAGATGTTTAAAAAAAATGACAATGATATAGCTTATTATGATAAATATGGGACAGAGAAATAAAA